TCGCTTTCCCTTCCCACATTCCTACAGCCCCAGGAGCAACTCCTCTGGGCTAGGTCTGACCCCAGGTGATCCCCTGGAAGAGGCTGGCTGGTGTCCATCTCTAGCTACCCTTGAAGCTAGGCAGACAGAGCAGGCAGATGAAAGGAAGGCCTCTGCCCTGGCAAAGCCTGCAGCCTGGGCTACCAGTGGTCCCAGGCAGACCCTATCAGGTCCTCAAGCCAGTGTTGCATGTTTGGGACAGTGGTCCCTGCTCTCTTGTGCTTTGGGAAGTAAATGCCACTTCAGGCCTGCAGTCTCACCCTGCCCTTGCTGCCCCCTGATGTGCCATGTGGGTGTCAGGTATCCCGGATGCAGTATTCAGCAGCCAGCCAGGGAGTCTACCTCCCTCCTCCCTGCCATCGTGGGACTTCTCAAATCAGAAACATGCCCCACTCCAAGACCCCCCCTTCCTTGCTGACAGGCAAGGAGTGTGCATGCAAACGCATGCAGTAGGGGATGGGGCCATGTCTGCACGCCCCAGCTTCCCTCAGCTTTGCTCCTGCCCAGTGACTGTGACCACTGTCCATGTTGCCTTCTTTAACAGCATTCCCCTACGCCCCCCTTCACCAAAGGTCTTGGTACAACCAGCTGCCCATTTTGTGAGATTTTTATGTAGAATAAATATTTGTATCGTTACTGGCCTCTGCTCTAGATTTGTCTGTAGCATCGGCCTTAGAACTGGGATGGGGCGTATGGCACTAAGGGCTGAGGCAAAAGCCCCCAGAAATGGGCCATTCAGTGACTAACACACTTAGGCTTTTATGAGGACAGGCCCAGAGAATCCTACCCTCATCCCAGGTGAAACGGCCAGAGCCTTCACCAAGGGCAGTCTGGAATCTGCTGCGTGGGGGATGCCCCACTATAGGGTTTAGAACCTCGGGCCCTAAGCCTTAGCTCTTCAACCAACCTGTCCCCTCATCCCTGAATTCTTAACACTTGAGGCCTGTTCTGTACCAACACAATGCCCAGGTCTACATCCACTTTCCTATTGACTCAGGTCTCATGTGACCACTAGATCTCTTATCTGCCTGCTGATCATTGATGGACAGACACAGGTCCCGGATGCAACCCATCCTGGACTGGTTGCAGGTGACCTGGCAGCTCAGCACCCAAGTTCAGCCCAGGGCTGCTGGGCTGAGAAATGCCTTCAAACCTGAGGGAATGCAGAGCTTAGGCAGAGCCTCAGGCCAGAGGGTACCTCTGGTATGTTTTATCCTCACCATCCTTCCCAACTTAATATTGTTTTAAAACAGTTACATATTACATAATAAGCCCCAAAATGAAAAGAATCTGTGTGCTGCAGATTAAAAGAATGCTTTCAGGAACCAGACATGGCACAGCAGAACACTGCTTAGGAGGCTCATCTACATGAAGGTTCCCAGTTCAAGTCGAGACCTCCCCGAGTACCCCAACAACTTGCCTATGGTCCAGGCCTGGTTGAGGATGGATTGTGGCATCAAGACCCTGTTGGGGATGCTGGCAGATGGCATGGTAGTTAGGTGCTGGACTCCCACATGGCTGACCAGTTTGGGTCCCCGACCTGATGGCTTGCTTTCTCACTTCCCCTCTGTTTCCAGTCGAAATAATACATTAATGACCAAAAAAAAAAAAAAAAGAAAAGAAAAAGACCCTGTTGCGAGTGTTACCTGCCTCTCACTCATGATTAAAACACAAAGGGGCCAGCAGGTAGAACAGTGATTAGGACGCTGGACTCCCACACGGCCATAAATGGTTCTAGTTCTGGACCTGGCGACTTACTTACTCCCCACCCTCACCCCTCTGGCGCATGCACATTCCCTATAGCAAATTAAAATACTGGGTCATTAGAAAAGTCATGACACATTTTTGCACAGATAAATAGATCACGCTGCCGGCCGGTGGTGTGGTGGTTAAGGACTGGACTCCCACATGCCCAACTGTGGTTTGAGTCCTAGACCTGGTAGCTTACTTTTTGTCTCTCTCCCTTTCTGATCAAATTAAAATAAAGTTTTAAAAAAAAAAAAAGTCATGACTTTTCTGATGACCCAATAATAAATAAAATTAAGTAATTCTTTAAAAAAAACCCAAAAAACAAAAATAAACACCATTCGTTTTTGTTTTTTTTTTTTGAGAGGTTTTCGCTATAGGGCGCGTGCACTCGTCAAAAAGACAGAGACAGAGAGATAGAAAGCGAGAAATCACCCCCCCAGGGGGGATGGCCAAACCGCAATCCCTTCTCCTCTCAGGATCTTGGGCATGCACGCACGCACACACACCTGGCGTGAGTTCAAGCCACGGGGTCTGGGACTTGAACCGTGGTAGACTACGTGGGAGTCCAGTCACATAGCCGTTACACTAACTGCTGGTCCCAAAACCATTTGTATTTTTAAGTTCTTTAGACTTTCACTGCGCCTGAGGAGTCATACCGTAGACCCACCAACTAAGAATCCTAAGACACCGACTGGGTTACGATCACAATATTGGGAAATACCAGGGCTAGAATTCCACAAAAGTGGTTTATTGCTTTTAAAACAAAATAAAGTGCTCTCAAAACATTTTTTAGTGAATAAAACATTTGTAGAACTTTAGAACTTTTCTAAAATACTATTTGGTCAGCTGATGAAGTAAGCATTTCAACATAGAAAAACTTTCCAGAGGTAAGTGCTGGGCTGGGTGACACATCTCTCACTGTGCAGCCCCAGAGGTGGCCCGCTGGACATAGCTGTTGCTTAGAAGTGGGGCCTGCGCTTGCGGCCGGTGTACTGAGTGTCAGGTCTGACCTCCCTGTGGGAAGGAATAACAGAACTGTTTCAGACCAAAGAACAGAGAAGCCCTGGGACCCCTTCAAGTTTAGGGAAGCCCTTAGCAATGACAGCTGTCTACTGGCCCCCCTCCCCCTTGGCCTGCACCAGAACTTACTTGCCCTGCCGCCTGCGGCGCTCCTTCTTCTCCAGCACCCACTCCCGGCTCTTTCTCACCAACCCACGCCGCACAACCCTGTGAGGAACCCTGCACCAAGAAAAAGCAATGAGCTGACAGTTAACTGCCCAGCAGGCACTTGTGTTAATCCAGTCTGAGAAAAATAGCAAGCTTCCGTCCGAGACAGGAGGCCTTAGATGCCCCTTCTTCAAATGTTTCATCTTCCCTTCTACTATCCAGTCAGGCTCTGGACACACCTCTTCCTGCTAACATCCACTGAGGCCTACACAGTTGTTTAACAGACCAGAGGTGAGAGGCCCTACTCGCTTGCAAGCATCTTTGCAGTATGTGACCCCTTGTTGGTGTGTATACATCCTGTCTATGGGACAGTCTGAGGGTATGCTACTATGGGGGGAACCTAGGCCAAGACCAGGATCAGCTCATGAGAGCCCAAAGAAAAAAGCCTCATGTCCAGTGCTGCTACTTAAGGCCCTAGTCTGGTTCTAGCATCACCATGCCTGAGGCACATGGGGAAATCCCAGCAACCGCCAATGTCTGAAAACAAGGCTGCCCGGCTTTTAGCAGCAGAAGGATGATCCTCAACAGCTCATCTTGGTCTCTAGCCTCAGCTGAGGAGGAGGGATGCCCCAAAGCCTTAGGGAAAAGAGGCAGAGAACCAAGAGATCCTGGCCATCATAAACTGCATCCTACCTGGCAGCTGTGGTCCAACTGTTCCTAGCTTAATTCACATGAGGGCCGTTTGCCACCCGAATTTCAACCACTAAGGAGCACCTGCAAGAATGGCCCATGACTGCTCAACAGAGCTCACAGACCAAACCTGTCCTTCAAAAGCCCATGACTGGGTCATGGAAGGGACCAACTACACTATGCAAGGCATGTGCGGCTGCCAGGAAGGACAGCAGAATGTCCACAAGCAGCAGAGGGATGGGGGTCAGGGCAGAATCCCAGGTAATGCATGCAAAGGAGGCACTGCAAGACCGAAGGGGTGATTCTCTGGAATCATGAACATGACGAGATGAGTATAGGGTGGGCTAGTTCATGGAGGTCAGAACCCCAGTGAGAAGTCTGTTTTCCCTTTGGTACGCAGAGGGCACAAGTGACGTTTACAGCAACATAATGACATACCACCATCCTAACGTTAGGGCAAGAAACACAATGGTTCGTGAGAGCAAGTTAAGAGGGCCCATAACTCAGGAGTCAAGAAAGACAGGGATGCAAAGGAGAGACTGAAAGGAAGGACTGAAGGGTGTTAAGGGAAAATAGACAGAGGACTGGTACAACCAAATTATCCTGGTGACACTCCAGAGAAAATAGTGCCGGAGTGTATGCCAACACTTTTTTAAAAAATTATCTCCCATGGGGGATGGTCACACAATCCCTTCTCCATTTCTCCTCTCAGATTTTTGGGGACACATACACAAATGACCAGTGTGTTTTTTTGGGACTTGAACCACAGTCAGCCACGTGGGATCCGGCTGCCTTAACTACCACACCATGGACTGGCCTGAGTTTCCCTTTCAACACCTGAGGCTGGTGGGTCAGGTGCAAAGCAGGAAACAGGTGCCAACTGGGGGCTGAAGATGCAGGAAGATCAATACCAAAGCGTCCTTAAGAGTACAAAGGGGGGGCGGGGGAAAGACAGAGTATGGGAAGATGCAAGCCACAGGAGCAAGGAGAAAGACATCAGAGAGCAGGTGAAGGAGGGAAGTCCCCCAGAGCCATAGGTGGGAAGATGTGAGCCACAGGAGCAAGACAGACATCAGAGAGCAGGTGGAGGAGGGATGTCCCCCAGAGCCACAGGTGCCAAGAGAAGAGTGGTGGTAAGCAGTGGAAAAGTGCTAGAGGGACCAAGTCTTCCAGAGAAGCAGCTGAGAGTGGCAAGGGAGACCGAGCAGCAAGGCTGAAGGAATGCCCAGGTGAAACACGGTGACACAAAAACATGAGAGCAATTGAGGAAACAGCCTCTACCCCTTCCCTCCACTTGATCTGAGGAATTAAAGAACCTAAAGGTGATGTAGGGAAGGGATATGACAAATACCATGCCAGGTGCTGCACAAACACACTCTCTACTCTTCAACACACTGACCAAGTGGGTGATGTTAGCCCCTTTTTAAACACGTGAGGAAGGATGCTCAGGTCATCAACTTACCGGAGTTTACAGTTAGAACAAGTCGTCTGCAGACACCGGTGTGAGGACAAGAGGGATCCTAAGATGCATGGAGGGAGTGAAACAACATGTACTTTCTCTGTAAAGGAGGAGATAGGACCACTCACTGGGAGCAAGTGATGGGCATCTTAGTGTAGAAGATATCTAGAAGAGGCTAAGAGAAATGACCACAGAGGACCAAGGGGTCAGATGACATAAATCCATAGTACTCATGAAGAACCTTCCAAACTCATTCACTTGCTCCCTGTTTTTCTTTACAAGTCTTAAGGGCCTTACTTAAGACTTATTATTCACACCAATCAGAACTAAGATATAACCTTCACACACACAAAGATCTATTCTGAGAAGGTGATGCTGGGGAAAAAAGATAAAACCTTCACTAGCTTATAATGAATTATTCAAAAATATTGCAAACCTTTCCTTCTAGTTGGAGATACAAGTAACAACCAAGTAAACAACATACATGATTTAGAGCAAAAAAAGGCATTAAGGAAAATAAGGGTGAAAGGAACTCAACTGAAGACATTCAACAGAGAAATGACAAGCTCTAATTTACATTATTGAAAAAAGTGAGAAGGAAAATAGTCTTGCATGTGCAGAAAATAAACTGAAAGAAGCAAAGACTAAAGACAGAGACAAGGTAGGCTGCTGCTCAGATCCAGGGCGGTAGTAACTTAGACTAACTCGGAGTAGGGTCGGTTCA